GCCGATTACGAACAGGATAAAACCCGTAGACGAAAAACAGTAAAAGCAAGAATAATCGTCCATGTTTTTTCTCGTATTTCTCCGCCTCTGCGCTTGTTTGGGCATACGCGAGAATGGGGCTGATAAACAAACACGACGTTTCCCTGCTGAGGAACTCCTGGGGTGGGCCAATTATCCACTCACGAGGAGTGACAGCAGCCGATTGGAATGCCACGAAGTCTCACTGGCTGCCTGCTGGCTCATATGGTGATGCATGAGACAGAACAGTTTCTTCGAATATTATTTTACAGATAATTTTCGAATTTTATAGTTTTTTCCAGTGAGCTTATGGACGATACAGCCTCTACTGTCACAAGTTGTGTGTCCTCTTTTCGGGATTTAGTGGAACGTGGGCTGATGTCTTTTATTGTCTGGGATTTCACATGTGGAGCAACCGATAAAAGTGTCCTTGGAACATTTCTTGACAATATCCAGATATTTTCATTACAATTATGATAGTAACGAGTGAATAAAATTGTCATCAAATATTAGTTAGTGTGCATGTATGGAAGGATGGAAATTCTAAAATGGTCTAGAATTGTGAGGGGGCTTTTGAACCTCGAGCCATTTAGTCAGTGTGTTGGTGGTTATTTGGAACAGAATGAATGAGAGTGCAGGAAACTAATGATGGGACCCTGTTGAAAGAAACGGAAAATGTCGATATTTTTCCTGTTTTTTTCAAAGTTTTTCCAAACATGCTTAAGTATCTTTCTAATATTCCAGCACTCGTCAATTTTTGCTTGCAATACTCATTTTTTCTTAAACCGGCTCAAATAGAAATCAAACGGACTTAAATCAGGTGCCCGCAATGGCCACTGACTGGATTTTCTGACACATTACTTAATAAGTCCAAACAAGTTTTCTTAAAATTCAACTAGCTCGGGCGTAGTTCGTTATTTAATAACTCATGATCTGTGGAAACAAAGCGTTTTCGTTCCACAAACAACCTGAAAACTGCAAAAATGGCATGATTTAGTTTGCAACTCCTTCAGCGATAAACATTTCGAATAAACGTTTACTCAAGTGCACAATGACTTCGAGCTAATTTCTCTTTGTTCGAAGGCTATCATTTAATGGAGCTTATTGACTCAGGAACGAAATTTTGCACACCAGTTTCGAGTTTACTGATTTAAATGATTTTGATGATGAAAGTAATGAGATTTGAAAATTTTCAGGTCTGAAATTTTTGTTTCATTCTATTTGCCTTCAAATGTTTTCTTTTGCAAGTCGATTTACATTTACTGGTTGGCTTCAAAAAGCTATAAAAATGATTTAAAAAATTGATAAAAGTAAACCAACTCTTTTGCACTTTTTAAATTCTAGTTGCTTCAAAGCTTCACATATCTACTTAGAATGAAGCAACAAACAATCGAAGTCAGCATTTGTATATTTGCAAGCACTACAGTAAATCCTGCTTAAAAATTAGTGGCTAGATTATGGGTGGACTTGCGGGCAGATTTCTGTTCCTTCTATGTCTGAAAAATCCCCGAAAAACCACGAAAATTTGGGTTATTGACCAACCCCATTCGTACGTGTGGACGATCTCCAAGTCGATTTCCAGAAAAATTTCCATTTATCAAAATAATGGACCAAAGTCAAAAATGGTGTCAAGCGCTTTGACATTTTCATGATATTAGGAAATTTCGGAAATTTTAACGACAAAAAATTAAATTCGTTTTAGTTTAGTTAGACAAAAAATTAAATTAGTTCGGGACTCTAATCAAGTAAAGCGTGAACAAGAACATTGTTAGCTGAGCAAGAAGCTCCTTAAGCTGTGGACATTAGAGCCTCAACATTGACAAAATTTGTAAAAAACAATAGCGAAGCTTAACGGCGTTTATGCGAAAGAAACCATTTATTTTTCCTCTAAGTAATTCAATAAATTGTTATGAAAGACCCGAACTTTAGGGAACTATTTCACTTTGAGTAGGGGATTTTGGGGCCTGGATTACATGAAACGCCCATGCTTAAACTAGCAGCATTAATTTTTCGCCACCAACAACGGCAGCTTCAGGTTGCAGACAAACCGCTCATCTTTCACGTCGTCAAGAGAAGGAAACAGTTAGTTGAAATGATATCGCATAACTGTAACGTTTTTGGTATTAACATTCAGATCCTATCTAGCTGAAGGATTGCAGGCTATAGTTGTGGGAATGATGTCTTATCGGGCAGGATTAATCGCCAGCTACTTTATCAATACTCTTCTTCTATGTACGTAAATCTTACAAATGATGGCTGAGAAGTTACGTTAGAGTAGGGGCTTTGGAGTGGCACCCTGAACAACAAAAAGTAAAAAAAAACCTTAATTGCCCAAATAAAGACAGCAATGACAGGAAAAAGAAAATGAGTAAACTAGAAGTCAATACAAAGGCCATACATTTGCTTCCAGCGAGTTCCGCAGGAATTTTGCTGGAAAGGAAGACGTAAATTGAGCCACATTTGAAAAGTTCCACCAGCACAATGAATACAACGCAGTAAACTTCAATTTTAGACAAAATTTTGGATGATTGTCCGTTGCAAAAAACTGGTCGATAATTGATGCAAAAACTGGGGCACTAATGAAATGAATTCATCATTTTCAAGCATCTTGTAACTGCATTTTATATACAAGGCAATAATTTTCCTGGAAATGCTTGCAAATATGTTGTGAGTTTGTTAAGTTAATATTTCAAGCTCTGGCATAATTTCGTACATTTTTCATAAGCTTCGTTAGGTTCTTGAAATGTAATTATATTGAGAAAAACAGCTGCCTTAGCTTCGGTTCTTTATTTGAAAAAATTCTATCTATCTTAATTAATGTTTTCCTTATTAATTTTCTTACCGACACCATATAATTGTAGTTTATTAGTAATATATTCGTGCAGCCTTATCATGAAGAACTAACGTATTAATTATAAATAATCTAAAAACCAATCGGTTCCGGACTTAATAAAACACTGTTTATCAGTGAAGCAACGTGATTAATTCCCAACGACCTGCAAAATTAATAAGGCTTGATTAGCGTCCTTTCGAAAGCTGAAGATTTCCAATAGATGCAAAATAGCTGAACAGATCAACTAATAACCTGCCTATTTCGACGAAATATCGCTCAAGCTTTATTCAATGCCAGCTTACTATAGGCCCATATTTTAGCATCTCATCTGGACGCCTTTACAAATTATGTTATTTGACTTTATAATTTTGTTTCAGATAACGAAACTGAAGATTGACAGCAACCCATTTGCCAAAGGATTCAGAGATTCATCTAGACTGACAGAATTCGAAAGGTATGCATCTGGATGAAATTCCTTTATAGTAAATCATTAAGATGGCTTTCTGATGGGCAATCTTAATTTGTTCGGTTGTCCTTTGTAATGCCATAATAAAACCGTAAATGAATTTTAATGGGCTACTTAAAAATTCATCGGCACATATACGAGGGCTCAATCATTGTCCGGCAGGTTTATGGTAATTTTTGTTCTCCACGATCGTCCATCGGTGGGTTTAGATCAGACGCAAAAATGCATTTCTCAAAATTCGGCTTCGGTACACCTTTTGAATGGTAAAAATGAAATGGCCCAAAATGAACTAGTTTAGGCTCGCAATATTGGCAATAAAATTCGCCCTAAAAAGTGTTTCTTCGGGTAGGAAGCAATGATGAAAAGTAATCAAAAGAACTATTTATAGGAATAAATTTTGGAACAGATCTGATTATTTTTCTTCATTTGAATCGATCAATTTAATAAATAAGAAGTCCCACGCACGAGGATCAGAGACTAAAAGCCCAGTAAAACCGCGGCAAAAATAGTGACAGTAAAACTGGGAATTTCTGAAACTATTTAAAAATGAAGTGATTCTTTCCCAAAATCCTCTATCTATCTCCTTAAATTGTCAAATTTCTATTTGTCTTTTGTCCAATTTCCTTAAAAGCTGAAGCTCCAATGGAGGTCTGCCAAGCACTCAGCCGGATCAGTCCAAATAATTGACAAAGCTGTTCTAATTTTCTCAGTTTCTCCTACAGGGAAACGATGGAATCCATGCTGGCGGAGCAGCACTACTTCCACTCACCCATTCGACCGTTTGCCGAGCTGAACACTCACGACAGCAATCTCTCTCTGGAAGAGAAAACGATCCTGGCCGCAAGATCGCAGCTTTTCCTTCGAGCAGCTGCAGCCGCAGCTGGGCCTTACGCGCCCCTAATGGGCAGCTTATACGGAGCCGGTGGTTCGCAAAGCCCATCGATCAGTCCGGTGGTGTTCTGGAACCAATGGGCTGGATTGGGACCATCGCTGCTAGCTGCGCAGCATCAGCATCAGCTGGCGGCAGCTGCGGCTAGTACGTCTCAGCTGCATCCTCAGTTAAGTGGTTCCCTGCCTGCCTTAGCTAGACCGATGGCTCAGCATCGGTTTAGTCCCTACGCAGCTTCAACTAGAACAAGTCCCGATCGAGGACCGGATACCAATCTAAGAAAAGATTCGGGCAGTCCTAGTAGTCCTTCTTAAAAGTTAGAATTGGGTTAATTTAACTCAACTGGGCCTTTTTAGTGGTTTTGTACAATTTCCAGAGTGCTTGGAGTCGATGGGGACAAGTTGCAAATTTTTCACTATGGACGGCTTATTTTGTTTCTAAATATTAATGGTGCTAGCTGAACTTGTGCTACCACAAACATTGCGATTGTGATACATCATAGTTTTAGAAACTCGTTTTTCACAAGTAAATAATAATAATGAAATTTTTCGATAGCAATTTCTGCAAAAGCAGTAAAAATGGCTTGAAAAAGCAGATATTTAAGAGTTTGGGATCGGTTTCCAAACGGTCTAAGCCTGTGAAGGATACTTTTGTTGTCATATTGATCTACTTAGGTAAATCGAATCATTATTAGCTTTTTTCATGAAGTTCGCTTTTTAAGTACTAATAATATCACAGAGGATATTTAAACATTTTTGAACCAACAGAACATTTTGAGCATTGAAACTGGTGAGTTGTTTTTCAACTGCGAAAACTTAACTTTCCAATTTATTCAGTTACAGTTCAGTTATTTGGTACAGATTTTATTGAAAAAGGTTTTTATATAATTTCTGCTATCACAGAAAATTGATTTGTTGGACTTCTTTGTTGGTTTAGACCGTTTAGAATACAGTTTCGCTAAATTGTGCCGATTCTTTAAAAGTTTTTTCTTTTCATTTGATGAATGCAAAACCGATCGCTTTGAAAGCAATTTGAACATATAATCGTTTGAAAATTTATTTCAATATTTATTGTCTTCATTGTTTTGCATTTTTAAGTTTATCATATTTCAATACAAAATTTTGCCCTTAGGCCAAATGTTTCCTATTTTGCAAATCTAATTATGATTCACACAATTTATTTCAAATAATAAATAAAGTTTGAACACAGATTTTAACGGCTGATACATATAGGTATGTCAACAAACAAAAACGAAAAATAAATGGATTCTTGCTATTTGTTTAAGACAACAAACCAATCAGAATCGACATTTTGATTTGTAAGTAAATGAGTTGATATAGAAAAATGTTTGAAAACATTTTTTTAAGCAACTCCGCACAATTTTTCTCAGTGCATCAGGAGGCAAACATCGAACGGAGAAATAGCCTTATCGATATTGCTGAAATTTTATTCCCTTATAAATTCTAAGTGTGCAGACAGTAAAATTCAATTATCATTAAGTGAAAACGAAATATGTAAAATTATACCAACAGTCGATGTAAAGCGACTAAATGAAGCGAATTTGAATGGTGAAAAATGCTGGTGTAAGCAACCTATTAGAGCTGTAAGGTTTTTGACCTATACTAACTTGAAAACACTGTACAGTATAATGTAAATAGCTATTTTTAATTTATTACTATTTAATGTATTGTCAGGCTTCAACGTTTCAATCAACGCTCGGAGTCATTAAGAGGCTTCATCATTTTTTTATTAACGAAGTGACGGTTACTTCCTTTCGGGGAAGACTTGGTTGACTGAATCGTCGAGGCCTCGAACGCCTGTACGTTTGTAAATATTCGATTTTTTTGCGATGTTAACTGTAAAGCAAACACAAAAAAATATAATAATAAACATTACCTCGCTTTATTTTTATGTGTTGTTTTAATTGTCTTCCCTAATCATAGTGGTTTGAAAAAAATTGTCTAATTAGTGCAAAAAGTAAGTACTAACTAGTCGCCAAACCACTTACATTGAAAGCCGTAAACGTTCCCTATTTGGAAGCTGGTAACTATAATACAACTGCTGCTTCGCATTTATTGGTGTGACCATAATTGGGCGTTGAAGAAATTGCACTAAAGCCTCAGGCTTTATTTAAAGAATTTGGGTTGAACAAAATTTGAATGAACAAGAAACTGCCATAGTCAATGCAGTAAGTGGTTTTGGGGCTAAACGTTTATATTTTACTTACATTTTAAACCTTTAGAGCCTGCTTGAAGTACATTGGGTAAAATAACTCCATACAGCTTACGGCAAACTTAAATAATCAATAGCCTCTTAATCTGGCTTTTTAGACACGTGGGGGTAATAAACGGTTTATTTTCCGTAATAACTTTCTAAAAGATCAAGCAAACTTTTCAATGCAATTTTTAAAGAAACTAACCGGGAAACACGTAACATTCGGGAAATTCAATCCACATCCCGGCGATAAAATAACCTGGAGATAACTGGGAAAACTACGTCTGGAATTGGGAAGTATTCAATGCAGCTAAGTTAACACCAGCTGCCACACTGGATTAGATGGAAAATCGGCATTTTTTCCGATTTATTTCTTATTGGGATAATTAGCAAATTAACAATTCTTCAAACTGCTTATCCTGCTCGAAGGACCAAAAACAGATCCGTTTTAACGGCCCTTAAACCCACAGAACATTTCAAGCAAACACATGATGCAACTATAAATCAATAGGGAGGTAACCATCAATTTAGTAAAACATGCCTACTAACGACTACCTAATTTTTCTCGTGAACGATGACTGGCAGAACGGTAAGCTGCCCGAGTCAATTAGAGAATATAAGACAAAGAACCTGGAACTGTCTTTAATCGTGCAACTGAATAAATGAAAGCACGTGTTTGTGTCAAGTCATATCGAATTTTACATGAGAATCTGAGACATGCTCGGGAGGGTATTTATGGATTCGATAAACTATTGACGTGTTTGGGTGAGCCGTTGTTGCATTATTGATATGCTGCCACATATATTTATGGTGTAATTTAAGGGAAAAAACTTTACCTAACACAATGTATTATAAGAGAATTGCTGGAAAAATGCTGCGGAATGCGCACATTAAACTTGATACTTTTTTGATAGGATGTGATGTAATGCATGGGTAATGGAAGCTGAAGAAAGATAATTTGCAGGAACATCAAAGTCTGCTGTACCTAAACTGTTACGGACATCGTAAATGGCTTCACTGTTAGTCAACTTTTGACTCTACATGGAATGTTAAAAACCAGCTTCAAGGACAACATTAAAAATCTTTTATTCTGCGGTTCTAAACCCAAAATCCGTCTTCTAAAAAGTGCTTAGAAAAGTAACGCTGAAGCCAAAGTTTGAAAAATTTTGGGCAAAGTTCTGATACGATTTTTTTCGACGACATCAGTTTTTTACATTTGTCTTGCAACATCCGCTAAACTAATAGGAAAACGTTATGAAACTGAATTTCACGGTGTTGAACATGCGGAGGGGGAAATGGGATCAAACTGAAGAATTTGAGACCGATATATTGAAAGCAACAAAAACTCAGAAAATTTGCTTTCAAAGAAACCGGAAAACTCAAATATTTACGACTTAAAATATTTACGCTTTAAAAATCATTAAAGGCTTGAATATCAGCGAAATAAATTGAGCAATAAGCAAAGAACAGCAGGAATCTGTAATATAAATTTTAAAATTTATGCAAAACTATTTTTTCTTCAAGGGTTTGCAATCAGATTGTTTAGTTGGGTTCATCAATTTTGAGAAGAATCATTAGAGGCCCAGTAAGAGAATGAATTGAGAAAACTCATCAGATTTTTTAGTTTCAGACCATAAAACTAAAAATTAGTATAGAAAAACACCAAATTTTATGTGCAATGTATGTGAAAATGTGTAATTTTCAATGCTTGCGAATCGTATTATTTGCATCACTAACAGTTTCTCGTTTCATTGTTTTTGAAGCTCCTTGAAGAAAGGCAATTGAATCCGGAAATGTAGGGGGACAAATCACTGTTTCTGTAGTCTGTTTCGCTTGGTGTATAAGTAATAGAAAAAAAAACGACAATTACGTCACTGCTAAACAGATTGAACCAGCCTTAGTTTAAACGGTTCATATCAAATGCTCTTTAATTATGCTTTGTTGCAACTATCCTTTGATATTAAAGCAGAATCGCTAGAGCAATATTCGGATCTTCTGTAATAAATTTGCCAACATTTAAGCTATTCTTAGATATTATTTTGCAACCTATTATGACTAGTATCCCACCTACCTTCTGCTTGCTCAAGTTCTAAGTAGTGACTGCTTTTTCAAAACTTCAAGTTCTAGATTTATAGTGAAAGACCAAACCCAAAAAAGGATATTAACAAAAAGCACTTTATAGTTGCTTTTTCAATCGCTTGTATAAATGACTTATCGTATGCTTGGATTCTGTGGTTAAACTAGAACATCCCAAATATGGCAGCATGAAAAGTTTGAGGTCGCTTACATTTATTAGATATTTAGGAAAGTCTGCGAGTACACAGACGCCGACAGACGTTGAGAAACGACGCCAACCCTCTCCGAATAACGCGATAGAGTGCAAAGTTGAAACCATTAACGTCTTATCGGGGCTCTTTCGAAATTGCGTCCGTATTTCTGCCGCCGCTATCTATAATGCATCTGGCAAGGGACCATCAAGAGATTGCCTCTCGAAGGTGAAGACTATATTCCAGTTATATTCCAGAGTATAAATGTAGAACAGCTCATGACTTTCAGACGGATATCATCGTCGTTTCGCCGCAACTTCCTCGAGAATATCTCGCCTTTATCCTGGATGTTTTATCTTTATGGATTCGCCGGGGTCCATCGGAGAGATCTAAATTTCTTTACGATTGCCGATGATAATAAAACTGATAGGGCTATGAACTAGTTCGGCTTGGTTTAGACAATTTTTTTCTCGTTTATTTCAGCTCAGTTTGCTCAGTTTCCAAATGTGGGTTCACTTCACATTACAACCTGGCATTTTTACTTGTGAATTATTTTTTGAAAACCAATCAATTAGATAATCAACAAAATGTACATGGAAGCTATAGATTCATTATTATGTAACATGCTATATGCTGGAGTTGCACCAGTTTGCTTTCTATAGTGCCTTTTTAATGAAGTCTTACTTACTAAATTTAAAAAAAGTCCAGATCTACAATAAATCCGTAGGGTTAAGGTCAGGCAATCTTGCAGTTCCTCAATGTACACAATTTCTGCTTTTCGTGGTAGAAAAATGAACGAAGGGGCCCAGCCCAGATAAAAATAATTTGTTCTTTTTTCCACGTTGGGTTTGCTTACTTACGTTATTGTTTGGTTCTAAGAGCCACAGAGTTCTCATTCTGAACCTTCTGCAAGTAAAACGAGACACTGTTTTTTTGCCATTATTACCTAGCCGAATGAATTCGCATGGATTTTCTTTAAATTCTATTGGGCGGTTTTCTGAAGAGCTCTGAATATCAACTTTACCATTAGCCAAAAACCGGAGTGATTCAAGATCGATTTATATATATACAGGGTTGCTCATTAGTGCGTCAAAGTGCGATATCTCAGTAAATATGAACTTTACAAGAAAATACGTCCTACAAAAGTTTTTCATGTTTAAAAGGTCCACATTTTAAAATTATTTTCCAATATACGGGGTGTATCATAAACGTGTGGTAGTTACCAACTTTGGTTTTTTAAATGGAACTGCCCCTTTTTTCATTCATTTTCAGATTTGTCGTCAAAATTTAAGTTAAGTTTGTGTCAAACGTTTTACCTGAAAAATTTACGATTTCCGAGTTATTCGTAAAAATGTGAAAGTTTTGACAGCTACTGGGTTCCACAGAAATCGATGCTGTACACTAC